ATTGTCCAACCTCTGCTTTCCAGTTACCATACTTTATAAACTAATCCTTCCAAAAAAGTAATATTTGAATCCCTCTCCTCTGGGTCTCGGCACAATTTGTCTCTTAGAACAGGAGCTTCTTCACACTTCCCTCTCAATCCCTTTGAAGTATGTGCTCATCTTAATCTCACTTTGATTCTGTTTTCTGCCAAATTCTCCCCTCCCCTGAGCTTTTTCTCACGTGTACCTTGACACAAACAGGCTCCCACAATGTTCCTGCCATGTAATCATCACTCTACCCTCATCAAATTCTGTAATTGCCTCTAATGTAGAAAATCTGTGTGATTACACAGTCAGCATTGATTTGATGGCACATAATCCATAAAGCCTTAGATTGCCCTTAGCTGTTTTCCAGGGCCTATCCCAATCTGTGGTTGTTGCTGATGTGCTTCACTGAATCTTCCGTGAGATGGATTGGCCCAGTTCCTATTAGCCACTTTAACTGGCTTGTTCATAGGCTGGGTTCCTATTCTGCCTTTGGGTATATACATAACATATACAATCTTGCCAGTGGGCAAATCTTCCATCCTAAGTGTTTCTTGGGAATTTCATATAAATACAGGCATGCTACCTCCCCTTTGGCTACCAGGCAGCATTTCATCTACAGCCTAGCATAAGAACTGCTAGTACTGGATATGCCGTTATGTCAATGCAATGTGTTCATTTCATTCAGACTATTGCACATATTTCTCTTATTTGCAGCACTGTCATGCAAGTAATTCTGAAGTCTCTTTGATAAAATGATACATGAACCTCTAAGGAAGCCAAAAATGAAGAAAATAAGAATAACATAGAATTCTTATTACATACCCAACAATTTGAAATCACAGCTGCCAGGTCTTCAGCTAAAGTTGGTCTTCATATGGATCAAGTTCTTCCCAAGAACCTACGATGTCCTAATGTATCAGTGTAGTATATCTGTAGATTGAAGCAGTGTGGCCTTTTGCTTTTTTTTGCCCAGTTAAAGGTTATGGGCCGCACTGGGTCATCATGTCAGAGGTATTTCTTTATGTAAACTGAGAAATAATATGACTATAGGCAGGCAAAATAGCAAAGAGGATGAGAACAATGTCCAATTGTTGCCAACTTCTCTAGTGAGTATTTTTGTGGGAAACTGGCAGGAAACATCAGACATTATCCCTTCCTCCCTGCCATTTTATTATTTCCTTCCTTCCTTCCTTCCTTCCTTCCTTCCTTCCTTCCTTCCTTCCTTC